AACAGGGAAATAATGAAATTAGCAAATGTTATGATCAAATGGACTTCATAGACATCTACAGAACATTTCACCCAAACACAAAAGAATATACCTTCTTCTCAGCACTTCCTGGAAGCTTCTCTAAAATTGACCACATACTCATAAAGCAAATCTCAACAGATACAAACAAATTAGAATAATATCAGACGAACATGGCCTAAAGGCAGAGGCCAACAACAACACAAATGTCAGAAAACCTACAAACTCATGGAAACTGAAAAACTCCCAGCCAAACCCCCTCCAGGTCGAGGAAGAAAGAGAAAGAAATTAAAGACTTCCTAGAATTCAGTGAAAAATGAATGTACAACATACGAAACTTATGGGACACTATGAAAGCCATGTTAAGAGGAAAGTTCATAGCACTAGATGTCTACCTAGAGAATCTGGAGAGATTTTGCACAAGCAACTTAACATCACACCTGACAGCTCTAGAACAAAAAGAAGCAAACTCACCCTGGAGGATTATATGGCAGAAAATAATCAAACTCGGGACTAAAATCAATAAAATTGAAACAAAGAGAATAATACAAAGAACCAATGAAAGAAAGGGTTGGTTCTTTGAGAAAAATCAACAAGATAGACAAAAGGCAGAGAGAGAATATCCAAATTAAGAAATCAGAAATGAAAAGGGGTACATATCAACAGACTCCAAGGAAATACAGAGAATCATTAGGTCATACTTCAAAATCCTATACTCCATAAAATTTTGGAAAATGTAAAAGAAATGGACAACTTTCTTGAAAGGTGCCAAATACCAAAATTAAACCAAGACCAAACAAACAATTTAAATAAACCTATAACCCCTAAGGAATTAGAAACAGTCATTAAAAGTATCCCAGCCAAAGAAATGTCAGGACAGATGGTTTCAGTGAAGAATTCATTTCAAAGAAGATATAATACCAATAATTCTCAAATTGCTCTGCACAATATAAACAAATAAAAAGAATTGCCAAATTCTTTTTATGAGGCCACAGTTACCCTGATATCCAAACTAAAAAAAGATGCAACAAAGAAAGAAAATTACAGACCAAGATCCCTCATGAACATTGACACAAAAATATGCAATAAAATACTGGCAAACAGAATCCAAGAACACATCAACAAAAATCAACCACCATGATCAAGTAGGCTTCATCCCAGAGATGCAGAGATGGTTCAACATATGAAAATCTGTCAATGTAATCCACCATATAAACAAACTAAAAGAAAAAAAACATATGATAATTTCATTAGATGCTGAAAAACCTTTGACAAAATTCAGCATCCCTTCATGATGAGGTTCTGGAAAGAGCAGGGATACAATGAACATACCTAAACATAATAATGGCAACATGCAGCAACCAACATCAAATTAAATGAAGAGAAACTTAAAGCGATTCCACTAAAATCAGGGACAAGACAAGGTTGTCCACTCTCTATCTATTCAATATAGTACTTGAGGTTCTAGCAAGAACAATAGGCAACAAACGGAGATCAAGGGGATGCAAATTGGAAAGGAAGAAGTCAAACATTAGATATTTGCATATGACACGACAGTATACATAAGTGAACCCAAATATTCTGCCACTGAACTCTAATAGCTGATACACATCTTCAGTAATGCGGCTAGATACAAGATTAACAACAAAAAAATGAATAGCCTTCCCATATACAAATGATAAATGGGCCAAGAACGAAATCAGAGAAACAATATCTTTTACAAAGCTACAAATAACATAAAATATCTTAGTGTAAGTCTAAATAAACAAGTAAGAGACCTGTATGACAAGAATTTTAAGTCTTTGAAGAAAGAAATTGGGGATGAAATCAGAAAATGTAACAATCTCTAGCTCATGAATTGATAGAATTAATATAGGAAAAAATAACAAACTTACCAAAAGAAAGCCACAGATTCAACGAAATAATCCATCAAAACCACAACAGGATACTTCACAGATCTCGAAAGAATAATACTCAACTTCATATGAAAACACAAAAAGGCTGTGATAGTAAAACAGTCCTATACAGTAAAGGCCCTTTTGGAGGTATCATCATTCCCGACTTCAAACTCTACTATAGAGCTGTAATAATAAAACCAGTTTGGTACTGGCATAAAGACAGATCCTTGGATCAATGGATTTGAATCAAAGACCCTGACATAAATCCACACACCTATGAACATCTGATTTTTTTTAGAAGGAAGCAAAAAATATACAGTGGAAAAAAGGAAGCATCTTCAACAAATGGTGCTGGCATAACTGGATGGTGTCATATAGAAGAATGCAAATATATCTTGCACACAATACAAGTCCAAGTGAATAAAAGACTTCAACATACATCCAGTTACAGTGAAGCTGACAGAAGAGAAAGTGTGAAGTAGCCTTGAACACATTAGCACAGGAGAACACTTCCGGAATATAACAACAGTAGCACAGGCAGTGAGATTGACAATTAATAAACGGACCTTCTGAAACTGAAAAGCTTCTTAAGGCAAAGGACACAGTCAATATGTCAAAACAGCAGCCTACAGAATGGGAAAAGGTCTTCACCAACCCTGCATCTAACAGAGGACTTATATCCAAAATATATAAAGAACTCAAGAAACTAGACAGCAAAATACAAAATAATCCAATTAAAAATGGGGTTCAGATTTAAATAGAGAATTCTCAACAGAAGAATTTTTTTTAATTTTTTTTTATTGAGAAAAGGAAAAAAAAAGTTTCCGCCTCCTCCCAGCCTCCCATTTCCCTCCCCCTCCTCCCACCCTTTTCCCCCTCCCCCCACTCCTCTCCCCCTCCCTCTCCAGTCCAAAGAACAGTCAGGGTTCCCTGCACTGTGGAAAGTCCAAGGTCCTCCCCACTCCGTCCATGTCTAGGAAGGTGAACATCCAAACTGGCTAGGCTCCCACAAAGCCAGAACATGAAGCAGGATCAAAACGTTCGGGCGCCAGATGAAGGCGTAAGTCACAAACAATCCCACACCAGTTTGGAATTACGATTAATAGGGTGGTATTCATTTAAAGGGGAAAAAACTTACAGATCACCGTCCGAGACAACAGCCCTCTGCGCAATCAGGAAGGAGTCTAGTCGCCGGAAATGGAGCAGAAAGCAAAGAGAGAGCAAGGAGGGAAGTGGCCGCTTTTGTAAAGAGAGAGACCACGCCCAATGGGGGTAGCTTGAGCATATATGAACCCTCAAAGCCCACCTTCATAGTAAACCACTTCCTCCAACAAGGCCACACCTATTCCAACATAGTCCCACTACCTTTGGAAGCCGTTTGATTTCAAACCACTGTAATATAATTCCCTGTGTGAGCATGCACTGGCAGGAGAGTGGTGAGGGTATTAGATACTCAGAGTGTTCAACGACAGGTACCCGAAGAGAAACGTTTTAGTTTGGAGACCGGATGTTATTGTATAGTCCAGGCGGTCACTGAAACCACACACTTCCTGCTTCAGTCTCTTGAGTGCGGAGATTACAGGTGATATGTCCCAATATCTTGTTACAGGTAAAAGAAAATTAAATAATAAACTTATTATGAAGAATTCTGGGAAGGTCTCAACACATGGTATATGTATCTAGTAGTAGGATGATTCTAAGTGATGAAAGAAGAAAAATGAGCAAGTTAGCAAAGGTGATGTAAGGAGACAAAATAGTTGAGGCCAACAGGAACATTCAGCTACTTAACAGTGATTTGGATTATGTTTTAAAGGTCACTCACAAGCCTTTGTTTGATAACTTGGTCTCCATCTGCTGCTATTGTTTGTGGAGCAGTGGAAATGTTTAGACAGAGGGTATAGATGGTGGACACAGGTTATAGATAGACCACACTTCTGGTTAACTTTCTGTTACACACCTGCTGATATGAACAGCTGCTTTGTTCTTCAGCCAACATGGATAGGAGTTAATGTCACTACCATATTTTCCCTAACATGCTAGACTACTTCAGGAAACTGTAAGCCCCAGGACGTTTTTCTACCTTTTATTTCTTTAAGTCAGGTAGCAGTGATGAGAAAACATAGCTGAGAGAGCTGGTGAGAGGTGTGTACACTAGAGAAGAATCAGACGCTTGTCAGCTACTACACGGGTGCTGAAATGCAACCCCTGCCCTCTGCAGGAGCAACAGGTGCTCCAAGACACTGAGCCAGGACTCCAGACCCAAGATTCCCTTAAGCTTTTCTGCTGTGTAAGTGCCCATGACTCCTGGGGCTCTGAGATCTCTTCTCACTCATGATAATCTTACTTTCTGTAGTGGGGGTGATTATAAAACAAGGAAATGCCCCTGATCTTAAGCTTACAGTCCCTGAGGGGCTGGCCATTTCTGAGTAGTCCGTTCTGTTCCTCCTCCATGCACAAATGAACCCACAGCACTGTCCTCCTTCACGAATCTCCCCCATGTGTGCCAGGTCTGATACCTGGCTGTAGCCATCACTTTCTGGGACCTGGGAACAGGTTCACCAAAAGCACACAGAGACAAATCCTTTGGAGTTCTGTGTGCTGCCTGTTTGAAACCAACACCCGGCTGGATTGTTGTATTCTTTGAGTCCTTCCCCTCTTTTTAGTATCACAAACTGGTTTGGAGTTCTCTATAAAACCTAAATGACTTCTTTTTTTATTTCCTACATGGCTCTGAAAATGCTGGCTAGCCTCTCCATGCCTGACCCCATGGTGTAATAGCGCCCTTATGGTACCACTATTCTATCTAGAACCTGGCCCTACAAAATGTGCTCTAGATCATAAGGATAATGATGCGGAACACCCATTCCACAGAGAGTTGGTGACTATTTAATATTTTCCAAAACAATCTTTAAAAAGGAACAAAGACAAAACTCATGCAAGTGCTAAAATAATTTTTTATTTAATGAAAAGTAGAAAATGGAATGTAGAACTGTTAAGCAACAGTAATTAGAATTATAATAGTATAATAATTCTATAACATTGCATCTAATGTGTATCTTAAAAATATAAATGTATTTTGTGGACATGTTCAATAAAACTAGGAAATTTAGACAATTGATGATTATCTTTGTTCACTATGTAGACTTTCACTTATGAGTTGATACTTATATTTGATGAGTTTGCAGTATTTCCTCTGACATATCTCCGGAATGCTCTCAGTGGGTGGATGTTACGCAGTTGGAATAGAAATGCTATAAAAACGAATCCCCCTATCACTACGGATGTTGCAACAGCAATGAGTGTATGTCCTGGAAAAGGCAATGGAACTTCGTCAACATAAATCTGAAAAAAAAAAGTAAAAAGGATATATTTTCTGGGTGTAGTAATTGAAAACACTGGACAGTGTATGAGCCCCACAATTAACCAGACAGGAAAATTCCACCAAGAATCCTGTGGACATTCAACATCCTCTCCACCCCCAACCTGTCCAAGCCCTATCCGGCACACAAATTCTGGCCATGTTTTTATCTTTCTCCACAACTTGGACTGACAAGAGTCGTGTCATTTCCCAGTTATCTCATTTCATACTTCATGCATTTACTATACCTGAAATTCCTCTACTAACTCACAAAAGGTGACCCCGGGAACCACGGACAGCTTGAAGTGAAACAGCTCAGAGCCCTGTGGAACAAACACAGAAGCTCAGTATCAACGTATGTGTTCCTTTAAACAAAAATATCTGTGGGCACCACTTTCAGAGATGTCATTCACAAGGAGTGCCATGGCTTTTGTCATGAGCATCACATATAAAATGAAGAGGGATTAAAACAGGAACTCAATGACACATTTTCCTTTTCAGAGGGAAACTAAAATAGAAAACCTTCTGGCTTTCGTGAACACTTTGAATTGGCCTTCATATCTGTGTCTTTAACCTTACCTCTGCACTCTCGCTGTTTCTCACACTGACCTGGGCTTTATGTATCTCTATGACCCTAAATCTTCTGCTTCCCTTTAGTCAATTGATCTGGCCTATCTCTGAGAAAATAGCAAATTAATGTCCTGTTCAACATTCAGATTCCTTTAGAAATAAGACAACCAGGGAATAAAGACAAAGAAAAGTTTTCTATATACTTTAAAGCTGCTCTTCCCACCATCCTCCAGCTATAGACTTTGGCACACATGCCTTATTCTAAGCTCTGCATGGTAAAAAGAAAAATGATGTCAACTCACCATTATAGTTAGGTTGAGCCCAAAAGGATTATACACTTCAGACTTAAGCATGGGCTCTAAGTAACCTTGCATTTTCCTAACATTTAGTGGAGTGTTGTGCTCTGAAACATACAAAATACATTTAGAAAACTTACATTTTCATATTTTGCATAAAATTTGTTATATACATTAGGATACAATGAAAGATTCTATTGTGTGATGTTACTAAGGAAGCTCAGGCTCTTAGTTAGGTTTGACTTTGTACATACCTTTAGAGTTGGGTTTTACAAAAGACACTTTAATATAGGCTTAATCAGAAGGGCTAAGAGGAAAAAGAGACACTCAGAAGAAGGCAAAATATCCTCAGAGCATTGACATGGACGTCTCAAAGTTACAGCAAATACAACACACCCTAGCCTGGATGTGGGGTCAAGGGAGAATCGCCCATTTTTATTTCTAAAAAAAATCATATACTTGTGGACTGAAGAGTGGGTTGAGTGATTACAAGCATGTCTGTTCTTGTAGAGGACCTGGGCTTTATTCCCAGCTGTCATATGGCAACTAAGAATCATCTGTAACTCCAGTTCTAGGATCTGATTGCCTCCCCTGGCCTCTGAGGGCAACAGGCATGCAAGTGATGCACAAACACCTAGACAAAACACTCATATTCATCAAAAAGTAATTTTAAAAATTCTGGTACTGGGTATTGAATCCTAGTACCTTCTTCACACTAGAAAAAACCTCTAAAGCCAAACTACAACCTCACTTCTCTTCATGGGGAAGTAGACTAACTAACTGCCTCACACTGCCCCAATGTCCTCCTCAAGGAGAGAGTGTCTGACCACCTTGCTGCAGTTTGAGTTCTTTCTAGACTCTGACTTATGAGAAACCAATCCTGGCATGTCATGGTTTGCAGCCTTCACAGTGGAAGGCAAATGATTTTCCCAAAACAGCAGTAGAGTTGCACAAGAGGATCCCCTATGGGTTCTGCAGGAGAAGGAAGCAGCTCTTCCCACCTAGTAAACAAGTGAACCGGTACAGGTGTTAGAACTCCAGTGGCACAATGGTGAGAGGAGCTAGAGAAAGTAACTCCAGCCTGGTTGTCTCCTAAGCTCCTCCCATTGGGAATGCTCTCACCATGTGAACTTAAGGGTTTGAGTCGGCTTATAAAATGCTTCCATATTTCAAAGTCAATTCTCCAAACCTAGTAAGGGCCACCAGGAAACCACAGAAACTGGGAATATTAATTGTGGAAAATGGGAGCTTTACTTTCTTTCCTGGACTTCAAGAGGGCATTCAATTTGGAAGGGTAACCTTTCTGAATAAGAAAGGAGAGAGAATGGGTGGTGGGAGTAAGAGGGGAGGTTTTGGGGAGGGATCAGGAAGAAAAGAGGGTATGAGAGGAATCTGGGATCAGACTGGGAAAAAGAAATAAAAACATTAAATAGAAAAGGATAAAAAAGTAAATTTGTGAGAGTTAGACTCACTGACTACAAGTTGTCTGCAAACATAGTGATAGAGTGACGACTAATCAAAGTTTCAATTGTCTTCACCAATAGGTCTATCTTCCTGTCCCAGGGTTGTGGGGCAACCCTGGGAATGAACCTAAGGCTTCAAACATTCTATCACTGAATTCTAGCCCCAGCCCTTATATATCTGTCTGTATCTCTCTTTCTTTCTTTCTTTCTTTCTTTCTTTCTTTCTTTCTTTCTTTCTTTCTTTCTTTCTTTCTATCAATCACCTATCCATTTATCTATCTATCTATCTATCTATCTATCTATCTATCTATCTATCTATCTAGTACCTGAAAATATTTGCACATAAATAAACACAAAATATGCAAGTGAAAGTTGTATCTTGAAGGTAAAACTGAATTTATGATAATTTCCTTTTGTATTGTAAAATATATTTGTCTCTTTGGGGCTCTTTTACTATAATATCCGCACTCTCTTTCTTTTCTTTCTTCCTTCTTTTTGGGACAATGTCACATAGCCCAGGCTGGTCCCATCTCGCTATAGAAGTAAAACTGACCTTAAACTCTTTCCTCTACCTAGCAGGTACTGGGATTACCACTGTATACTACCACATTCAATTAAATAAATCTTCACAAAACTTCCTTAGATAATTAGATATGTATGTTTAGAATATCCAGCAATATCTAGAATATTTAGTTAGCTGTTCTCATAGTAAATAGTAAAGATACTCATCTGGAACACAGCACAAACTTAATTTTTGCTAGTAATCTGTAACAAGACCCTTAGATGTGTTTCCATGCTATAGTATGTGTTAAATATTTATTTATAATTATGTTTGCACATGGGTATATACAGGCCCCTGCAGAAACACAGTCATAGGGCCCCCTGAAGCTCAAGTTACAGTTATATGAACTAGTTGACATGGGTCCTCTGAGAGAGCAGTATACTCTTTTAACCACTGAGCAATCTCTCCAGGCCTGCAGTTCAAATCTAAAAACTACTGGCCGTATACCATTGAATCCAGGTTACTGGAAGTGATGAGAACATAAGGGGACATGACAGAGGTAAACGTGAACAAGCCAATGATTCAAATCCTTTTCTGAAATACTCCAGGTTATTTCTCATGTGAACAAGCTTTGCAATGCACTCATTAAGCAAAACAGCAATAATAGAATGGCTTGTAGATACAGATAGAAGACAGAACACATACTTTATTTTTTGTTTTAATTTTTTTTATTGAGAAAAGAAAAAAAGTTTCCGCCTCCTCCCAGCCTTCCATTTTCCTCCCCCTCCTCCCACCCTTCTCCCCCTTTTCCCACTTCTCTCCCCCTCCCTCTCTAGTCCAAAGAGCAGTCAGGGTTCCCTGCCCTGTGGAAAGTCCAAGGTCCTCCCCCGTCTGTCCATGTCTAGGAAGGTGAACATCCAAACTGGCTAGGCTCCCACAAAGCCAGAAAATGAAGTAGGATCAAAACCCCATGCCATTGTCCTTGGCTTCTCATCAGTCCTCATTGTTCGCCATGATCAGAGAGTCCGGTTTTATCCCATGCTTTTTCAGTCACAGTCCAGCTGGCCTTGGTGAGCTCCCAATAGATCAGCCCCACT